GCCCACTTGTGGAACGCGCAAGTGTCGTCTCCACTGCTCGCGCAGTCACCCCGCTCGCCCGCCCGCAACTTGCGTTGCAAACCAGAACGGCGGCGATTGCCATGAGTGCTTGATGTTGGCTGGTGAATCTCCGCGGCCGCGCCAGCCCGCGCGTGCACTTGCGCGCGGCGGCCTGCTAGCTTGGCGCGGCCGACGCGGCCGCGGCGACGCTGACCGCTGAGCGCATCCCAGCGGGCACATCAGTGCGAGTCGGCCACTTGGGCGGGCGCGGAATCATGGCAACGCCGACAACAATAGAAGCGATGCTGATAATGGTGATGCTGGTGACGGCATAACGATGACGGCGCGGACAGTGACGGCGCCGATGATGATGGCGCCGACGACGATGACGGCGCCCTCGCGTCGATGATGAAGCTCTTTGGTGGAGTTCGGCACGCGCGCGCGGCCGACGCGCGAGTGGCCCGCAAGGTGTCATGTGGTACGGATCGCGCCACCCCCGCTCCCAGCACGCGCGCAAGGGCGTTCGAATGATTTCGGCACGCGGCGCGAGCGGCCTGTTTCGCATAATTCAATAAACATGTTCAGAACTTGCCAGGGCGCGAGCGCGGGCGTCTTGAAACTGTTGTTGCGAAGCTATCTGTTTTTCAAAGTAGGGTCGCGACATTCGGTTTTGAAATCCTTGCGAAACCAAATGCTTCTGACGGTTTTCGGCACACGCGCGCGACGACACGCTCGCGTGCATCGTCCCATATGTTGCAGCATATTCTCGCGACAGCACTCGCGCAACGGCGTTCGAGAGATTTCGACATGTGCGCGCGAAGCACGTTTGGTAGCATTGTATGAACAGTTTGAAATCCAATGGTTTCCTTCCGAATTCGCAAGACCGCGCTCGTTCCCCCCCAAGAACCCGCGCTGCGAAACCATCGGTGTTCAATGCTATTTGTGGACACCCGATCTTGAAATCCAATCGACGCCGACGGTTTTTGAAGGATTCCGACATGCGCGCGCGACGACGCGCGCGTGTGCACGTCAGCCCGTTTTCTGCAAGGGGTTCTTGGACCTGATGATTCGTGATCGAGAAATGCACGCGCGCAAAATTTGTTCCAGAGGATGGCGGGGGCAGGGTCGATGCGGGCTCGGCCAGGATGGTGTGAATTCATACTTCGCATGGGCGATGGGGCAGAATCGCATGCGCATTGCAACGCGAAAAGCTGCACCGTCAACCCTGGCCTCGGGAGGGTGGCGGATCCGAATTCTTTTCTTAGAAAGGAGAACCTATGGAGGGCAACGCGCGTTGTGCAATCCATGTGGAGCATCCGAGAAAATGCCATCGGCATGGTGACATTTATGTGATGGGATGTGAACGGCACAATCTGCATGTTCGAATCTCTCGTGTACGCTATGTTATGAGACTACGTGGTGTGTGCTTGGCAGTGCAATATGTGTGGCGCCGTCGCCGTCGTCGCGCGGGCGAATCCTGCTCTCGCCCCCGCGGTGCCGCGAATCTCGCGGCGCTTTGCGCATTCGGGGGGCCGCCAGTGCGCGCGGGCAGCGCGCCGCGTAGTCTTGTGACCACGTCTCCGCGCCAGCGCGGTTTTGACCTCTCCCTTTACCGCCGGGGCTGCTAGAATCTTGCCCGCGCTGTACTTGGCAGGGCAAGCGCGCTTGCCTTGAGGGCGGCGTCAGCTGGGCCCCCGTTGACGAAGCAGGGCGGCGGGGGGCGGCGGCGGCGGCGATGGGGGGGGGCGCCGGGGCGGCGCGGAAGTGGGCCGTGCCGAGAGGGCTGAGAACCCCCGAAACTTCCATTCGCTTCCACAGAGAACCTCTTCCATCCCCCACCTCTGGCCACCCCTCCTCGCAACCCTCGCGACCGCCCGATTCTGCCCGCGCGTGTCCTGCTCCGGCAGCGGCGCAAGTCTACCTCGGCCGTCAAACGCGCCCGTCTAGGCGACGCGTCGCCTCGTTGCCTCCGAAAAGAGCGGCCCCGAGAACGCCGGCGATATCACTGGGGGGGAGGTCCGAAAGGGGCCCGGGACGAATCCAAGCAGCGCCCGCGCAGCCGCGCCGGGCCCCCAGGGCGCCGCTGAGCGGCGACTCCGAACGGCTCGGGGAAGTCCCCCGGGCACGCAGCCAAGACGCCCCGGAGGGCGCCTGGACCGCCGGGGGGGGCGCCCAAGACGACCCGAAAGGCCTCGGGGGAGTCTCTGGGTCTGCAAGCACTTAATCGGCATCCTGCCTCGGGGGGGGAAGCTGCGCAGCCGCCCTTCCCCCCCGTCGCCCCTCGATCGCTCCTTCGCCCCGCCCCCGGCCCGCTCTCCGAGCGGGGATTGCCTGGGCCGCCCGGCTCGCTCGACTTCCTGCGTCCTCTTCGGGGAAAGGGCCACCTCTAACAAATTCCCCCCCTCCTTGGTTTCGAAGGGCGCTTCCGCTGGGGGCGGGCGCGCCGCGGGCGGCTTGCAAAACCCTTGCGAGGTCGCAGAAGCCTTTGAGACCGTGCGAGGACCCTGGGACATCTCCACCAGGCGCCGCACATTTCTGGCGACGC